GTGCACAGGTAATGGGGAAAAAATAAGAACCAAGATACATCATGTACAGGTACAAGCACCCAACGATAAATGTAAACGAATTGTATACCTAAGATGTACCAATAAAAGAATTTAAGCAAAAATAAATAAATAAATAAAACTCCTCCTAAAATTTAACAAGTTCACTTCTTTCATAGCACCCCAATGCCTAATCTATCACATTCAAGAGCTGCTTAATAAATCTTTTTCAGTTAGCTAGTATAAACTTTATATGCATTTATGCAGACTTATTAATATGAATTCTGGACTTGGAAACATTAATAACACAAATCTCTTTCTAGCTAAAGACAAATGTTGAATTGTTATGTAATAGCTACCAATTTTACCTGTATTCTACTCATGTATTTGGAAAAAGCCGATTTGCAATTTAAAAGTAAATTCAGGGTTTGTTAATGTAATTCATTTTACAAAATAATGAAGTCAGTAATACAAAATTTCATTAAGTCTTTAGCAAATCGCTGGACAAGGGTATGTAATTTTGTTTGTCTTATGGAGGTGATTAGAATTAGTAGCAGAAAGAGATTAATCATGTTCCAAGGACTAGTAAGCATTTCCCAAGCATTTATAACCCTAATAAATTAAATCACAGTCTGTAGCCTCCATGGTGTGTTTTAAAGAGAACTGCTCTGCCTACAAGACTATCATTCTGCCTATGCATTACCATTTCTTAGAAAGGATCTCCGTGACTGTCCCCCGTTTAGTGGAGGTAAGGTCTTCTTTTCCTGGCTGACAAATGTGTCCCACTTCACCTTGTCACAGCCACCTAGTTCCTTTACTTTCTGTAAGCAACTTTCCAAGTACTCTACTGGATCTTCTGGCTTAGAGCACATCAGTCCATTCAAAAGGCTCTGAAATACAACAAAATATGCACAAATGAAGTATCTTTTAAAACCATCTTTGCTAAAATACTGTCATGACGCATCTCTGAATTTGGGGTTGTTTTGTCCTTTGCATAAACAATTAGAGTAAAAATTATGATCTGGTTGAATAAGTTAAGATAACCACTTACATTCTAGATCAGTTAGTCTGCAGCTCAGCATTCTCTGCCTTTTGAACAACTCAGGCAACTATGCAGTTTAAAATAAGAAAGACTGAACAAAGTGAGATAAAGTGTAGCATGTGGAAATGCCCCTAGCCATTATTTATCTCAGTCCTATGCATCCTTCAGGTCTCTAGGCCTTAGTTTCTTCTGTAAAATGGGGGTAACTATACTTACCTTACAGGGTTGTTTTTTTGGGGGGGTATCAGGGATCGCCTACCTTATAGGGTTTCAAAGGAGTTTTTAAAATGTATTATTTGACTAGTGCATATTAAGTGACTTGTATGTTCCAAATACTCAACAAATGTGGCTGTTTTAGTTTGTGACTGTTAAGCTTCACTGTGTCAATTTGATTGTATCAGGAGCCATCCAGGGGGATTAGTGGAGCACACTTCTGGATGTGTCTGGGTGGGTCACAGAAGTGTGACCTTGCATACTGTATATGATCCCTGCTCCTCCCTCTCTGGCACTGTTACCCTGCTGTACCTCCCAGCTGCCATGAACTAAGGAGCTTTGCTCTACCATGTTCTACTCTGCTTCTGCCTTGGAGTCAGCTGACCATGGACTGAATTCCCTGAAACTGTGAGCCAAATCAAACCTCTCCTCCTTTAACTTGTGGGTGTCAGGCATTGAATCTAGCAACAGGAAAGCTGACTAATACATAGTTATTATCATCGTTGTTATTATAATGAATTTTCTCCTGTATCCCTAGATTGACCTGTGGACCCCCTCTTCTGTGTTCCCTAGTACATGAAACATCACACTTGTCTCTTACACTTAAACAACTGGTTTTTTACTTAATTTCCTCTTCTAAACTGTAAAGTCTCCAACAATGCCAAGGGGGTCTCATTTTTTTTCATTCCCTATGCCTGACACTCTCCTCTGGCATATGGTAGGACTGTATTAACCTTTTTTCCCAAAAAAACCCCATTCAAAACTGAAGTCTGAGTCACTAAAAAAAATAAAGTCTGAGACTATTTGACATGTAGTAAGTCACCACAATATCTATTGAGATGAGATGGTGGGGGGGTGGGGAAATATGAACACAAGTGAATAACCAGCTTTATATTTTCTATTCATGGTGTCCAATGTGTCACTTGTACTAGAAGTTTGGAAAGTCTGACTCCTGGGAACTGACTGATGTGTGAAACATTTTCCTTTAGAATTTTTTGTGCAAAAAGCATAGAGGATTATTATCACCAATGTTTATTTATTTATTTGTTTGTTTGTTTATCTCTTTAGTTTGAGACAGGGTCTTACTATGTAGTAAAGACTGGCCTTGAAGTCACTATGTAGCCCAGAGTGGCCTTGAACTTGCATGCTGCCTATCAATATATATTTGTAATGTGCAAAACACAAATCCTTTAAAAAGATGGATACCTTTCCTAAATACACTATTTTATTTTCAAATCATTCTTGTGCAACTTTCCCAGAATGGCAGGCCAATTCTTAGCAGGTATATTTGTTTTCTGAAATCCTAAATAAAGTAGGTTAGAGTGTGTGACTCCGTCAGACCAGTTCTCTTGCTGAGGGAGCAGAAAACACTAAGCCAGGCATTTGCATGCAGTGCGTGTCAAGATCTGTGACGTCTACAGGCACAGTGCAGTTGAGCTTCCCAGGCCCTCCTCCACACTGAGCAGAGCTGGCCACACCACTGCATCCAGACCTCCCTGTCTCCGTGCATTAGCTAGCCCAGGGCACTCCTGGTCCTGTGTCGCATTGTTATCCCTATTTTAAAGATTAGAAAATTGTGGCTCAGAGATGCTAGTGACTTGCTCAAGGTAGCTTGGATAGAGGCTCCCAGGCCCAGGTTTCCAACCCAGTCTCTGATTCCCAAACCCATATATTATTACCCTCTGTATATTTTGCAAAATATAATATGGAATAAAAGAAAATACCAGAATTTCTGTGCCCCATTCAAAATCCAACTACAGTATGAATCACTCAAGAGTAAATCTTTTACTTTTGCCTTTTAGTCATGCCTAAAATGAGTGAATGTGCTCAACTGAAGCTTTTCTGACTGGGAAATGTACATTTTCAGCCTTCTACAAAACTGACTCCCGGAAAGGCACTAATTTTTACCAAGTGACAATGGGTCCCACTTCTTCGTGGATAATTAAAGTCCCTTCTTCTAACAGCTAGTTACTATCAGGAATGGAAGATAGCTAGCAGACATTATTACTTAGTCTCTGATTTAGTTCTTTGAGATCTTGAATAACCTAATCTGATTTCCCACAGTATTAACTGCCAAATCAAACTTCCAAAGTGTAAGATCAATATATTCATCAGCAGGTTAGCCAGAATGAAGATCTCATGAAAAAAAATCAGGAGAAAGTGATTTCTGAGAAAAAAAATGAAATAGAAATACACTTCAAATATGAAGCACCTGTAGATATCCCGCATCACAATGAGCCCACATGCTATCTCAAATCAGAAAGAAATCTGTAAAGGTCACCCAGTTATATCCAGCTGATACTAGATTCAGTAATCAATCACTAGTGGTGCCTCACATCCACAGCTGGGGGCAATGTTTGGGAGCTTGATGGCTGCTACCTAATTGTTAAACATACCCAGAGTGTTTCAGTTTTGATGGGAAAGAATCCAGCTTAGAAACCTAGGGTATTTGGTTTTGCTGTGTCCACTCATCACATGGAAAATTGCCAGGGTTTGCTCTTCTCTTGCAGCCAGGCACAGCACAGATTCATTTTACTGGAAAGACGGAGCCTTTGAGGTCATCGCCTCCCATCTTCCTCTTGTCCAGGATTGAATCTAAGTACTCTGTGTGACTGCTTCACCCAGGCAAAGTTGGCTTCCTTTTCTGGGTGTGTGCTATTTTAAAACATCCCATCGTATGCAGGAAAACCAATGAGAAGATAAGCCCTGAACAAGAAATGCCTCCTGGCACCTGTGTGCACGGAGGGGATTTTCATGAATAAACTCTCCTTATTCTCTATGGTTACCATCCACCAAGAAGGAAAAACAATATCCACATTTACAAAGAAGACTACTACGAATGCAGTCGTTTGCAATCTGGTGGTCATCCTATAGATGTTTCTAGTTGTTCTTTCTGAAATGTAGAACTGAAAATAATCTCAGGAGAAAAATTGGTGACAATACCCTTCAACTCTTCATCTCCTTATTTACTTTTTAAAAAACAACCAACCTCATGATTACCACACACTCCTGAGACCTGTCCTTGTACAACATCATCTGATTGTTGTCACGCAGGGGTAACACACTTGCCGGATTTGGGCTTCCCGCCACAGGATTGAGCTCAGTGGGTGGCTTACCTGTAAATCTTGGCTTCAGATGACCTGAACTCAGTGGCTTAAAGGTCTACAATTGCGGCGCATAGTTTGCAGGAGGGGGAACGGAGCAACTTATTTTCCCAAGTGGTCTTTTAAAATTCCTTTTGATTAACAGAGTAAATCTCCCAAACAGGAAAGAGAGCAACTCATTTCAGTTTTCCACATCCATGAGTCATTTTTTAGACACGGTAGGTCAGGTTTGCAGTGAATGGAGATCCCCTTTCGGGATCGCCCGCCCTATCAAGCTTGTCAGGGTTCCATTCTTTTGTTTTGTTTTTTAACCCAAGCATAAGCGTTTAGGATTTAGGAATGTCTTTTTAAGATTCAACTAGGAAGAAGGAAAGGAGGCAAGTCGACCCGAGATGGAGGCTGCATCTCAGAACTAAGCGAGCTTCCCGGAGCTCATTTCCAAGCCTCTTCTCAAAGTGTCCCCCGCCTCGGGGTCCCCTGGGCTCAGGGAGTTCTGCTCTGGCCTGAGGACAGCAACAGAGCCTTGCCCGCCTTGCCCGCCTTGCCGCGGCCCCTGACCCGCCGTCCGCAGGTGGGTCGGGGGCGCTGACGAAGCTGCAAATCCCGGCGGACCGGCGCGTGGTTGGGCAGGGAGACCCACCCTTCCGCGGCTCGGAAAAGGGCTCCGGAGTTCGCTCCCCGAAAGCGCACAGCAGCACCCGGCGCTCGTCGCCCGGAGGCAGCGCTGCACTCCGTAGGCTGGGATTTGTTTTCTGCATCTTTCTCTCTCTCCTCCGCGCGGTTCCCCCCGGAGGGCTGCTTTTCTCCACACTCCCTCCCTGCAGGGGCCCCGACCTTTGGCCCCCCGGGAGCCCGGGGCTCAGGACCCCGCGGGTTCCTGTGCCCGACTCACGCCAGGCGGAGGTGCGCTCACTTGGCCTGACCTTTGCCCCCGCGAGCTCGGCCAGGCCGCTGTCTGCAGCCGCCCGGGGCCGCCTCGGCGGGGTGCGCGGGTCACCCGGCTTCTAGAACCTGCTCTAAAGAGGGAAACTTGAGCCGTGAAATGCGGGCTTCTGACCCGGTCCTCAGACAGGGACCTGGCAATCGCGGGATAGGCGATCTTCAGCAAGCGCCCCATCTCCGTGCCCCGCACCGGGAAGGCAGGACGGGCGCAACTGCTCGCCCTGAACCCCGGGGATGCCCGCCCCATGCTCTGCCCTCCCATTCCCGGCCCTTACCTCGAAGAGCTGAGGGATTTCCCTGCGGGCCAGATATTCCTTGGCTTCGCTGGTGTTCATGTCTGCGCCGCGCGTGCCTCGGGGCGGCGGCGGGGAGGCTCCGGGCTGCGGCGACCCGGGCTGGGCTGGGCTGGGGCTGGCGGGGTCCACGGTGCAACCCGGCTCCCGAGCCGGCGCGAGCAGGCTGTGATCTCAGCGCTGTCGTCGCCCCCGCTCCGGTTGCTGGTCCCGCGGCCGAGCTGCCGGCTCTGAGCAGCGGTGCCGCGGTTCTCGGGCTCCCGGCAAGGGACGGAGGGAGCGGAGGAGGGAGGACGGCGAGACGACGCCGGGCAGCAGCCGCCCGCCTCCTGCTCTGCTCCGCACCTCCCGAAGTCGGGCTGCAGCGGCGGCGGCCGGTCACGCTGCGTGGGCGTGCGCGGGGCTCGCAGTCACACCCCACCCTCCGCGCGCACCGCCACCCTGCGCGCGCCCCGGGGACGCAGCCGCCCCGGGACCAGGGGGCCCTTGGAACCTGAGGTTGGTCTGCTTCTCCAGATCTTACACACACACACACACACACACACACACACACACACACACACACACACACACACGGTATTGAGTTCCCAAGGAGCTCCAGGGAGACAAACTAATAGGCAAAGAATTTATCATTTATTCCTAAGGTTGATCTTCCAGTAATAGGAAATGGGGGAAAGAAAAAAGGGGGATTCCTGGTTCAGAATCTACCCCCTAAGATAATTTATATACTTTGAGTATCTCTGTTCTTCAGGAAAGTTTGGCAACTGGTTTCGAATTTTTTTCCTGGGAGTGTTACAAATTCTTACAGGACTCAGTATAAGGCCTTAGGGTGGGCCTGAAATCTTCATCAGAAGAATTAGTAAGTGGTCAACTTACTAATGGATTATTTCCATCTAGAAGAATGGCAGACAGAGGAGGAAAGGGGGTGCTGCTGGAGAGTCAGAGATTGCTTGATTGGAAAGTGTGCGGCAGGTGGGGTGGCAGCAGTAGCCCTCAGGCTGCCAGTCCTCCTCTGCCCAGGAGAGAGCCAGGAAGCATGGGTGGGTATAAGGCCTGACTGGTGATGGACCCTCCTCCCGTTGCACACCATTGTGTAGACGTGCCCATCCTCCTCCCAGCTCCCAACATGACTCATTTCCCCATTAAGATGTCTTTCCCCTGCCTGTTGGAGAGATGGCCCATGCCCCCTGGGAATAAGATCTCTAAAGGCACCAAGTCCTGCCACTGTGGGAGGGTGTGTGAGAGGAAAGGAGGCTCTGCTAGGACTGGCATTTGGGGTCTGGCCAAAGAGAAACCAACACTGCAACAACTTGAAAACCAGCGTCTGAATGTCAGTTCTGAGTTCGTCCTTGCAGACCTTTTCTTGTTCTATTTCTTGTTGCATCACCAACTGCTACTCTAGGTTGACTGTAGCTACAGCTTTATTTTACCCAGGAGAGGGAACTCAAGAACTAATTAGTTGAGTTTTGCAATGTAAATGAAGTTTTTCGAATACTTGTGAAGCCGTGTGTCATAAACATGTGTCATAAACATGCGTCCTATGGTAGCCTCACATGAGGCAAGTATTTCAGGTCTATGGAAATTGGTGCCTGACCTTAGAATATGTCACATTGTTTACAGCCCCCGGTCCCATTTCTTGACCTTATTTAAGAGCAGCCCACCGAAGGAGTGAAAGCAGCCTCTGCCCTGTGTGACCACGCCTGAAAAGTCCCAGGGTCTGAGGCATAAAGGTTTGTGAGCAGGCACAGTAGAGGCGAAGCACGTAAGAATGAAAAGACCACTTCCTGAAGGACTTTTCAAGGTCATCCTTTCCAGACAAGAACCTGGCAGAGCGCAGTTCACATCTCCGCTCCTGTTCTGGCCACTGAATGGACACATGATTCTTTTTGGTGTATCCCAGGGTGGAGAGAGACACGGGGAAGAGGTAAGATGTTCATAATTACTTTTGCAAACGGAATGTGGCCTCCGGAGGAAAAGTTATACTCGGGAAATACAGTGCTTAAAAGCTAGGATGATGACTTGGAAGAGAGGACAGGGCAGTGACAAGGAACACTAAGTACATCCTTGCTGTGAGAGAGCTGGTGTATGATTCCCTCTGAAGAAATTCTAAGGGTAGGTATATAAAGGACTCATGGCCCTTTAGGCTTTGTTTATTTGACAAGACATTACTGCAAGCTCCAAAACTGAGATGAGTACTCCATGTCTGCTTGTGTTGCTGAAAAATTAGCATGCTCTGACTTTTTCCCCACACGGCATTCAGGTAGAACCTAAGTGGTTCATGACTGAGTAAGGTTTAACAGATTAAGATATGTTTCTGCCTTACATTTATTATGAATAGAATTGTCTATCTCAAATTCTGTCTGATATAGCTGAAATTTTTGTGGTATAATTGAAAATGGTTTAAGTTTTGAAAATACAATGATCTTGACCATTAAAGAAGAATGATCTAAAAAGGCTTTTTTTCAATTTTTGTTTTTTATTAGTACATGTTTGTAGTACATAATGATTACATTGGTCATGGGGTGTTGATAGATATAACCACAAATCTTCTTTTTCTTTCATCCCTTTTCCCTCCTCTTCCTCTTCCTCCCTCCATCTCTTGGTCATCTTACCCTTTGAGAAAGATCTATCTCCCTACTTCCTAGTATCTATCTTTTATTTTGCTCTTTGTTATATTTTGGGTTTCTCATGTAAGAGAAACCATGTGATCTGTAAGCTTGTGTGTGTGATTTCTTTCACTTAACATTATGGTCTCAGGGTGCCTCTGATCACGCTTCAGGACACGGTGCTAGTTTCTGAAACGTGACTGTGGTGAAGACAGACCACCAGACAACTTACATTCCACAGAGAGTGTAAGCAAAAAGCACAGATGGACAACAAGCAAATAAAAATCCCTAAACAATGTCAGTGATAAACAAAAGCTCTATCAGAAAAAAACACATAAGCAAGAACATATCAGAGAACGATGACTGTGATGATGGAAATCACCATGAACTCTTGATGTAAAGCAAAGGGCCAGAGGGTCCAGGTCTGTTCTGTAGGAGTAGCAGGGGAAGTGGGAGTAGGATCAACCATTGGGATGATGACTTGGATTTCCAAAGGGTCAGACTTTGAGAAGGAGGTTTTGTGTGGAAATGTTTCCCTGAGTCATCCGAAGGAGCCCCATGCTGACACACAGGCCATGTCTCAGCAAAGGGTCAAGACTGCCCTGCCTGTGAGTCAAGTGTCCATGAGTAAGGACCATTTGCCCCTTCCACACACATAGGGCTTGAGGACACTGCCTAGGACAGCTCTCCCCAAACCCTAAAGAGATAACTGGAAGCTAGGTACACACCTTCGCCCACTCCTAACAGAGTTATGCCATTCCAATTTAACTGTAGCCAGTTTAAACCAGGAAGATTTTAGCCATACAGTACAAAATATTTCTCATGTTGCTGTTCCCAGGATGGGAGACTAGCAGAGTTAACCATTCTGTTACTGGCTGACAGTATTGCAGTAAGTTCAGCCGTAACACATGGCAGAAATGTATTGTTTGTCATGAGTCAGGCATTGTACTAAGCACTTAACATAAAGTCTACTGTGTTACATATTTGCACACGTGTCATGTTTAACTTTTTAAAGCAGTCTGTAACACATGTATTAGTCCCATCAGGTAAGTGAGCAAGGAGCCTAACTCAAAGTTATACTAATTGTGTCAGTTCAGTTGTAAAACTGTGCCATTTAATGCCTGTATATCAACAGCCCTAGTGTCATCATCATGATGCCTTTTCAATTTGGAAAGGCAGGTAGCAATTTTTTTCTTGGATCTTTCACGGTTTTCTAAAGCTCCCACTGTCTTTCCCACTTTGCTTTCATCCTTCCTTTCTTTCTTATAGGATATGGTTTTTTTTTGTATTTGGGGCGAAATGTGTTATTTAAACCACAAACAACATAAAACACATAGAAACAAATTTATCCACTGGGTTTTCCAATTGATCAGTCTTCTGTTTGAAAGCTCTTGCTCTATTCAAGAGGTTGTATGGGCAATAAATACACCATCCCTAATTATCGAACTTTTTGAGCATTGAATTTTATCATAGAAAGCAACATCTTTCTCCTCATTGTCCCATTTCCTTTACTAAGTTATAACCTATTGGACCACAAGTGTCTGTGGGAAATTTTGAAACATTTATTTAGAAAAACACTAAATATGTGAGGCTTTCCCTTCTATGTATTTGTGCATATTGTTTTCATATCTGTACCTCTAGTTTACAAATTTTACAAGTGGTCTTGTTAGGAAGTCTTTCAAAGGCATTTATTTATTTATTTAAAATGTGAATGAGGGCCAGGGATTTCGCTCAGTGGCACTGCGCCTGCCTCACAAGTGAAAGGTCCTGAGTTCAATCCCCGCTACCAAAAACAAAGAAATTAAAATAAAATAAATGTGAATGTATACTGTAGTCTGAAGTCTGGGGTAGGCTGGAATAATGGTGTGTAATGCAACTCTTAAGCCTAAGAGAAATTTCCTGATATTCTAGTTTTTTCACCTACACTGGCCAGGCATTTAGCTCAGTCAGATACTGACATTCTGGATCTCAAAAACCATTAGAAATTTCTGGGAACTGGATTAAGAAAGTGAAAGCTTTCTCACAATGTTTGGAAGGATTAGGAAAATTTCCAAGTTAAATACTTTCTTTTCTTTTGTTTTTGTTTTTGCACTGTTGGGGACTGAACTCAGTGCCTTGCACACAGTAGGCAAGACTCTACCACTTAACTACATCTTCAGTCTTTAATTTGTATTTTATTTTATTTTGAGACATGGTCTCATTAAGTTCCCCAGGGTAGCTTCATAACTGTGATTCTCCTGACTCAGCCTCCCAAATATCTGGGATTATAGGCATGTACCATTGAGACCTGCTCAAGTTAATGTCTATTCAGTACAAAAAAATAGCTATGATTTGGAAAATCCTTCATTAACTACCTATTCATAATGCATTCATGCATCAAACCCTTATGAAATAATCTTCTATGTTCCAGACCCATATTTAGAAGTGAAAATAGAAAAACAATATGACTTAAGCTAGGAGAGGTGGTGTACACCTGTAGTTCTAGCACTTAGGAGACTGAGGCAGGAGGATTGTGGGTTCAAGGTCAGCTTGGGCTACCTACATAGTGAGACCCTGTCTCAAAACAAAACAAAACAAACAAAAACACAAGACTCAAGGGTTCACTGCTCAGTAGCGGGAGATGAACTTATAATAATTAAGTATAGGTAAATGTTTTATTTCAATAAGATGATAGAAGGGGCTGTGTGAAGGAGGATTGTTATGGAGGGATGCAGATATACACAAGTCACTGCAACATGTATAAGACTTTAGAAACATAACGGAAAGTTTTTTTTAAAAAGACTTTAATTTTTTTCATTCCCCTCAAAAGACCATTTGTCTGAGCTTTTTCCCTTCCAGTTTACCCCCAAGATATATAGCT